AGCCCCTTTATCAAATATAAGATAGTTGTAGTTTTGTGGATTGGTTTCTGTGTCCTCTATTCTGTACCATTGGTCCACCCGCCTGTTTTGGTACCAGTGTAATGGGTAATTTTAGACTTATAGAAATAGCATATTTAATTGGGGATTTATTTACGTCATTTAATGTTCTGTAACTGGATAAAGATAACCTGTTATCAATAAGATGAATATAAAATTTTATGTTACTTTTTACACTGGCCTGGAAATTTAAATGTATTTTTGGATGATAATGAAGTCTGATCTGTTTAAAGATTAACATTGTGAAACATGAAAACATTTTGTCACTTTTGTACAAAAAGGGATTAAAAGGTTAAGCATTGTTTGATCCATGTTTCAGATATAATTTTGTATTGTGTTAACTAAAATTCATATAGACTAAGGAAACAGTATTTGAGAACTTTGTAAAATGATACTTAAGAATGGAAAAAGATCAGCTTCAGAAGTGAAACACTTTACCTAAGATTTATTAAGAGCCCTACCTCACCTAAGTTACTCAACTTACTCCATTTTAGGATGATTTCAATGTAGGCTAGACTTAAGCTCATTTAAAATTATGTTGAAGGGTAAATTTTTATTGTAAATATTACTGTGATCTCAAACAGGAGACACAATATATAACTAAGTGAGGTTTGGCATTATAAAAATCATGATTCTTTTTATTATAGCTATTATATATAATTAATATTTTTCCTATTGTAATTTTCTTTTCTTTTCTTTTCTTTTTTTTTGAAGAGAGAGTGAGAGAGGGGAGAGAGAGAGAGAAATTTTAATATTTATTTCTTAGTTCTCAGCGGACACAACATCTTTGTGGTATGTGGTGCTGGGGATCGAACCCGGGCCGCACGCATGCCAGATGACCGGGCTACCGCCTGAGCCACATTCCCAGCCCCAGTAATTTTCATTCTATATTTTCCTCATAAACTTTATAGCTGTTGCCTGTTAGTGTTTTACAGTGGTACTCTTTCTAATAGAACAATCTGATTTAATTTGTGATAATAAGCCATCATCTACAGAACAGACAAGATAGAATGCTAACTTCCAGTGCTAATACTGACCCCAATTAAGTGGAAGGGGTAACTGTAAAAATAAAACCTAACACTCCCACTTAAATACTGGTGAAACTGGTCTGCTGGATGTTTAAAACCAAAAACATGGCCCTTGCCCTGTAGGGTCAGGATCCATGGAATGACAGAAACCTTCTTGGTCCTGCAACTCTGGTGAGTCACCTGATTTGCCAATTAGTGGGATAGTGAGGACCCTGGAGAACTGGAAGCCAACCAGTGCACATTCTACAGAGGAGGCTTGTTGAAAAGGGAAATGTTCCTAATGCTTCCCAGAGAAGCCACATGTGATCTGCAAGACCCTGGATCTGTCACTGAAAGCTTGGCCCCTGTCCATGATGCCAATCCAAGAAGCAGAACATGGTTTTGCTTTGTTTTGTGGGGTACCAGGGATTAAACTTAGGGGCACTCAACCACTGAGCCACATCCCCAGGCCTAGTTTGTATTTTATTTAGAGAGAGTGTCTCACTAAGTTTCTTAGTGCCTCACTTTTGCTGAGGCTGGCTTTGAACTAATGATACTTCTGCCTCAGCCTCCTAAGCTGCTGGAATTACAGGCATGTGCAGCTGTGCCAGACTGGGCACATGGTTTTAAGAAAAAGGAAAAAGGATTATTGCTTTGCCAGCAAAGGAGAAACACAGGGGACTGCTGTCCCAGAGGCTGTGTTTCTGCCCATCAGCAGGAACAGGGGGCTTTTAAAGAGGTGATTCAAAGGCTACATTCCATGATTCTCTGTTGAAGTTGTAATTCACTTCTTAATTTGGGAGACAGTCATTTCTGAGATTTTCTGGTGCCATACCCAGAGTCTGTATTGCTTGATTCTTATGATGGGTGTGTGATCAAGGACAGATAAATCTGCCTAAAATGAGGAAGAAAGGTAATCCTGTTTCCTCTGAGATTAGGGTGGGGGAGAGATTAGGGAGGAGCAAGAAGAGAGGAAGAGGGAAAAAAATGTTCATTTAAAAAAATCAGTGGTAGAGGCAGAGCAACAATGGCTATATTCAAAGCATAAAATGCACCACAGTTGCAGACCCATCCTAGCAGATGACACTACTGGTAGAGGAAGCTAGAGAAGCTATGAGACTTCTCCTATGTTCCCAAGAGTGATCCCTAAGGAATCTCAGCTGATTCTAACAGTACATAGGAACAAGTTCAGTTTTGACCAACTTGGTCAAAAAACCATAGCCATACATGGACATTTAAAAGGAATTTTTTTTAATGTAAAGTAAGATGTACATTTGTGTTAGTCCAACCAAGAGTAAGTAAAACTGGAAACTGTAAAGAAAGGGTTATTATGTGAGAATGCCTAACAAATATCACAAAGGACTCTATAGTCACAGGTTTGTCCTGAATCCATTTGAGCCTCATCTCTTAGACCTACAAATCTTCCTCATCTCATACATAGATAAACTTGATATGTTTTTCACTGATATAATTATGAGTTACTGTCTTCATGGTTTTTAGAGAGTGGCTGAAATACTAATTGCTTTTGTATTAATTATTTACCAAAAAAGTAATATAGAAATTGAGAGTTGGAAAATGTAACAGTGGTCCACTTTACCATTTGAATATGTCCTTTGCTGCTTATTTTAAAGAGATGTTTTTCTTTTCCTCTTCTCCCCTTTCCCACTCCCTAACCTGGGGAGCAGTGAACAAGATTACCGGGAGTTATTTGTTCTCCACAGAAAGTGAGAAACTGATGTGACTCCATTTTTGAAAAACCAGCCTGTACCTCAGAGCAGGGCCTGTCCAAAGGGGGTGACTTTTGTCCTTGGAGAACCCGTTCCTAGGCACATAAGCTACCCTGCTGAGTCATTTGTCTGTACTAGATGTCCTTGAATCAGCAAATGCAAGTTCCTGAAAAGACCAAAAGAATGACTGAGGCCTAATTTCGGACCATAGCAACCACCAATCAGAGTGAGACAGGGAAGATACCTGAAATACCAGGTGACCCTCCTAGTAGTTTTGGTGATTGATAACATGATTAGGCAACCTTGCAAGTTTACAATATACACTCTTGCAACCCCCTGCAGCCTAAACCAATCAGTTCAAACATATCCACCACTTGAACTAACCAACCATCCTTACCTGACTTGTTCCCGCCAATGGCCAATGAATGTGCTAATCAATGTTAAGAACAGTGAGAAATGATTTGCTGTGTGATGTTGTGATGCATAGAGTATCCCAAAAAAAAACCTATAAATCTCCACTGAACTAAGGGTCAGGACTCACTCCTGGGACCACTGCATCAGAAATGGTTGTGAGTCCAGGCTGGAGCTTGCAATGTGTGATTGCATCGGATTCAGCTCCTGGAGATCTATTGGGGTCCCATGAATTTGGCATTACAAAAGAAGATGTCACCAGAAGATCTAGGAAGTGACTATCTCACCTGGGAACCCCTTCCAGTTACACCTAGAATGCAGCATTTGAAGAGTTACTTTAAGCGCCCCTCTGTTTTCCTTGATGAGCTGAATAACAGCCTCTGGTACTGGAGTCCCCTGTGTTTCTTCTTTGCTAGAAAAGCAACTAACTTTCTCTTTCCTTATTCTCAAAACTGTCTCCTCAATATTGGATGGGCATCTGGGACAAGGACCAAGGTCTTGGTAACATAGTGACCACTATTCCACTCTGTAGTTCTACAAGGTTGACTTATTGGATTCCATAAATAAGTGAGAATGAGGTTGTAACAGGGGTTCACTTGATGCTTTGACTATATCCCTCGTAGCTTGGAAACTTTTTTTTTCTTTTCCCAACCTTCTCCTTCCTGATCTCCCTTCTAATCTTCTGATATTCTTTTCCCTAAACTTCTCCCTGAGCTTCTCCTTCCTGATCTCTCCCTAATCTTATTTTCTCTGAATCACCTCTATAAAAGTCCCCCACCCCATTCCTGCAGATGGGCAGAAGAATCACAGCCTTGGGGACAGGAGTTCCCTGTGTTTCTCCTTTGCTAGCAAAGCAATAAGCCTTCTTTTTCCTTTTTCTCAAGAATTTGTCTTTGTTATTAGATGGGTGTCAAGGACAAGGACCAAGATTTTGGCTACAAGGTAGGATAGGATTTAAAAGTAAAAGGATATATATATATGCCAGAAATTAAAACCCAGGGCCTTGTGCATCCAAGGCAAGTGTAGGAACAACGGAAAACGGAAAAAAGCTCCGTAAACTCAACAAGCCAAAACAACTGTTTACCTGATGAGATTTTATTAGCAGGACCATAGCGGCCAGT